TTTCTTTCTCATCCAATTTGAATTGAATAAATGGGCACTGAAAAAATGATGGGTTGTTTTTTTTTTTTTTTTTTTCTTTTTTTTGATATGATAAATATGGACGGTGTTGATGTGGAATTGGGAAGGAGAAAGTGAGACCCACAAGTTGTTATCAACACGTGGTACTGTCCATATTGATGACGTGGACCAATGGAACACGTTTTGTTGTTGAACAAATGGGGTTTGACCTTCGGTCACCGACAGGTCGTCCAGGCTGTCACGGTCACTCTAGCCTCCTTTCATATTTAACTTCAACACTATTTTTCTTCCACAGCCCAATTTTCACTATTTTCTGCCCAACTATTATCACTAAACTATTTGTGTCCCTAAAGAAACTCTCTCTCTACTTTGTGGGGGCAAATTTTTTTTTTTTTTTTTGTTGAACACTATTAACAAACAGAAAAGATGTTGAAAGTTGGGAAGTTTGGGGGAGATTTATTAAAGAAGAAGGGAAGATCAAGGAAGGAAAAAAATGAACACCACACGTGCACAAACTATGAAGCAATTAGAGAGTCTTGTGAGGGGCCCACTTGAATGGAAGTGGGGCCCATTCGTTTATAATGTTTTTCCCCTCCTCATAATTAATGCAAAATATTGAAAGTTTGGGAGGGATTTGCACTTGAACAGGATAAGAGAGAAGGAATGAATCATATTTTTTTTATTTAAAAAAAAACATTATTCAAAGGTGTAATTAAGTGGGTGCTAAAGAGTTTACATGACGTTTGGAATGAGAAATCGGGTCATTATTCGAATCATGGTTCGCGACTAGTTATAGTATTTTTTCTTAAAAAAAACACGTAAAATAAAAATAATTTTAAATTATGATTTTGAATTCATGAACCAAACGTCATCAAAAATTTGAGGGTTGTGTTTGGTCGGAGGAGGAGAAGGAAAAAAAAAATTTGTGGGATAGTTGTGGGTCTCACTTTCTCTTTGGTCTTTCTTTATATCAAATGCAAAGTACAAACGGGATATGAGAATGAAAATCAATGCCACGAGGGGAGAGATCACTTATGGGAGGAAAAGACCCTACCAAAATTATTTTGAAGAGAGAGAGAGAGAGAGAGAGAGAGAGAGTTTTGGGCCAAGAGTTAAGCTAAGTAAGATATCAACTATGATAAACCAACTGGGCCAGCTAGCCCAAAGAGAGATTACAACTAGATGCTCTTCTTAATTTGTTTTCTCATGAGATTTTGACCTGTCTCATTTGTATTTTCCTCAAGGGGAGGAAATCATGTCAATGGGGTCTTCTTCTAGGTTCACCAATTATGATTTCTTGGACAGTAGAATTATGAACAAACTTGTAAAAATCATCACTCTTTAATTCCTTTTTTTTTTTTTTTTAATTTTCTTTTCTTTTCTTTCAAAGTGTGGAAATCATTATTCAAGTTGGCAGCAATGAGGAAAGTTTTGTATGTCCTTTCCCTGAAGAAATCCCGGGGTGCATTTTGGTGACAAGCTGAATTTGGCACTAAAGATATTAGCTCTTAGCAAAGTGACAAAAGTAAAGGAGAAAAACAAATCCAATTGTTGTCATAACGGTTTCAAAAAATTTCTTAAAAACCCACATCGAATAAAGAATTTAAAAGTTAGATAGGTCATGTTTGGTTCGCTGATTTAAATTGTATTGATTTAAATTAAAATTTTATATTATGTGTTTAAATAGCCATTTGAATTTGCATTTAGATGCACAATTAAAGTGTAAATATGAATGATAATTAAAATTAAAATTTGTGTTCATAGATTTGAACTTGGTTCACCACTTAGACCGGAGAATCCAGTTTGAATCAGAGAATCCAGTTTGAATTAGTGAATCAAACAGGGGCTAGTAAAATCATACGGAGGAATACCAAGCAATTTGGTGACAAAAAGGGAAAACAAATAATAAAAAATAAAACTGTTCGTGTGGGTCTAGATACGATTTTCTTATCTTTTTAGTTGTCCAAATTTCTATGAACTCTTGCGGCAAAAGATTTTAGTAGAGATCTTAGCTGAATTAATTTCTTCTCTGTTTTTCCTTTTCTTCACTATTCCTTGTCACGCCCATACAAAACAACAAATCACATTTCAACTCCGTCATTAGCGGTTTTTTTAATTATTAAAAAAAACCTTCTTTAGCCTATATTTTACGGTTATTTAGAAAGTATTGCTTAATTTTCAATCGGTGTAAAAAGAATTTTTTTATAAGATTAGAAAAATGAACTATTCGTAATTTTTTATTTTTTAACCATTATATATTTATTAAAAGTTGTATACTCTGCATACTTTTTTAATATGATATGATTTTAACTAAATCTAACGGTAAAAAATTAAACTCTACTAGTCCAGCATACCGAATCCTGCAAAATAAACCATCAAATTGTATTGATTCTATTGAATACACAAATGTATATTTCACTTGGTCAACTTCTTCGACTTCGGAAATTACCAGAAAAAAAAAAAGAAATGAATAAAACAAAAAAAAAAGAAAGAAAAAATTAAAAATCTAAAAGCTAAACAAAAACGAGGATGTTTTTCTAATTTTTGGAGTGTTTAGTCTCTTTTTCTTTTCAAGAGTATTTCAGAAAGTTTGTTAGTCAAAATGTCTGTTGACCAAGAGAAGGTAGGAAATCTTATAGAATACTTTTATAATAATTCAAAATCAATAGTATACTTCTTGAATAATCCTAAAATACAGGGTTTGGAAAGTAAAAAAGACCAATTCATCATCCATATATATATATATATATATATATAAGACATTAGCAATTCCTGTGACAAACCATACAAAAATGATAAAATTTGATTGTGTTGGGGATTAATTTATGCAAAGTCGAGAATTAAGAATTATAAATAAAAATAGAAACCATTTTACAATCCAACAAACAATGACTATTCAACACGACATTTCTGGCCTAAAACCATGGGAAAGAAGGGACAGAATATGGGGACATTTTTCGATCTTAAGCTGGTGATGTTTGTAAGCATTCGATAATATAACACAAATTAAGGAGCAAAATATGCAAGTCTTTTGGAAGTCAATAATAATAATAATGGTAATAATAATAATAATAATAATAATAATAATAATAATAATAATAATAATAAAAATAATAATAATTTTGGGGAGGTTCTCAGTCTCACCACCGAAATATTAGGCAAGAATGATTTAGAAAGGTCAGACCAACTCACAGTGGTACAAGACGCGGGTCCTATAGCAGCTGTATTTGTACCAAACTTTTGGCATTTTCAGAATTCTCTTTCAGAAGTTCACAATACTGTTTCATCTCTCACAAAATAGTAAAACATATGTACATAATAATGAAAATAATTGTAGGATAAGGTACGATTAAAATAGCTTACTAGTAGTAGGATATAGTTGTGAACTGCTGATGACAGATAATCATATTAGAATTAAGAAAAATATTACAACTTAAGGAACGTTAACATCTACAGTTTTAGATTATGCCCTTGGTTTTTATTTTTATTTTTTAACCCTACCATAAAACTCCAAAATAATAACAACAGTACGTATATTCCTTCGCCAATATACCGATAAATATAGGATATTTTTCTTTAAAAACCGATATATTGTTTAATTGTTGGGTTAGAATTTCATCACTCATTTTTATTATAGCAATTCTATGTCGTGTGCTACATATTTTTAACATGGATGCTCACACATTAAAGCGTTAAAATCTTAATCCAACAGTACTTGTCGGTAATTAAAAAGAATTGGTTGTCCCCAATATATGTGTGTGTGTGTGTTTATATATTTATTGTTGTTATTCACTTTCATCGTGTACCAAAACAGTCAATTGCATAAATATGCTGTACCAAAGCTACACCGCTGAGCACTAGCAAAAGCAATAACTTGATTAACCTTTTTTTTTTCCTTCTAGACAAGGAAAAATAGCTCATCAGTCTGTCTTGACAGATCTTCCATATCGAGTGTCTGGACAAAAGATCCAACTATCACGACAATGTGTTAATGGTGATTATTTACAGTTTGTACACTATTTTCGTGCTATTTGATGTTGTTATAATGGAGTGTATGAACATGTTTATAAACTTTGACCGAAAAGAAGAGGAGAGTAAATCAAATAATGCCCACTGTAGAACCAGATAAGTAATGCTAGACAGACACCAAGTACCATAAATGCAATATTAACGAAAACTTGCTGTTTGCATGAGTGCAGTATTCCCCATGTCAATATAATATATATATATATATATATATATATATATATTATGTTGTATTGAAGATACACACAGTGTTTGTGTTAAATAGGCAGATCTAACAAGGTTGGGACCACAAAGTGAACCTGCTATTAAGCTCCTGTGCAGCTTCAATTATTCAGGTTTCTCCTATGGTAAGGTAAGCCTCCACCTAACACATTCAATGTGCTCTTTCATGTTTTGATGATAGACAGTACTAGCTAAAGATAATGCCTTAAAACAAAAATTTAATAACTATATAGAGCACTCTACGGTACTACAGTTTCGTGTTTTTAATCGTTAGACTTAACCAAAATCACATCAAAGCCAGTTTCGTATTTCTAATCGTTAGATTCAACCAAAATCACATCAAAGTCTGCAGTTTCGTGTTTCTAATCGTTAGATTTAACCAACATCACAATAAAGCGAAAAGGCGTACAAACATATTTAACAGTTATAATATAACCCTACCAATATGATTTTTTTTTTCTTACCCTACCGGTAAAAATCTCATAACTATATATTTCACTGCATGTCTCACACGTAGACAACATTTATTGGTTAAGGAAAAGCCCAACTACGATCAAGGACCACAACAGATTTTGGTTCTATCAAATTTTTCTTTACCACTTGAAAAGCAAAGCGTGCAATGTGGATCATGGTCCATGTTGAAGAAAATGGGGAGAAAAGCGAAGGAAGCTGAAGCACTTTATAACCATTATATGTCCACTAAGTATTTTCTAGGAAAATAAAATGGTTTGGAACTGATCAGAAAAAATAAATTACTATGAAAAATAATGTAGAACAGCGTACATTCTTGGGAAACTTGCACCAGTTCAACAGAAAAAACTATTTCCCTTTCACAAGTTTGAGTCCATAAAAATGAATCATGGTAAAAAGAATTTGTAATAAATTAAATGGATTCGCCATATGACAGTAAAGAAACTGCTTGAATCCGCTGATCTAAATTGCTCAATATCTCTTTTCTTGTTTCTTTTCTTATTGGCTTCCAGACCTTTTAGCCGAGTTCTATACCTTCTCATCAGGATCAGAAGATTCTGATAATCCATCGTGTTTTTGGGATTTGGTACTGGGAAGCGAATAGCTACGCCGCTCTTTACCTCCCGGCTTGGATGAGGCATTGCCATACCAGACCATGCCCACTATTGCAATGATCATGCCAAACACTACATGTAGATTGAGACCCTCTTTACCAAAGAATATGAATCCTAAGATCAGGACTAGAATTGTCTTCATATGGCCGAGGACTTGGAAAGATACGGCTGTAAATCTGCCGATACAGATAAATTGGCTAAGGTTGGTTCCAACGGCAATGCTGCAGGACAGGATAATGAATAACTGCAGACGACAAAGAGTGGCGACTGAATTAGTGATAGCGTGCATAAACTGCAAGAGAAATGTTTATGCATACAAGAATCTTAACATGAAATGTCCAAGTCATTACTAGTAGGATTATCCTCCTTTGAGTTCTCCATGATTTCACGTGTATTTAGCTTTACACAAGCACTAAGAAAACAAAAAAGTTATTCCACATCGCTTCTTCATGAGTGCAAACGCATTAACCAATCCAACAGTTTCCTTAACCCATATGAATTTTGATTACAGGAAGTTTTCATTGGCCCATAATTTGTACATGTGGCAAAAATGCGAACGTCAATAACTCATAAGGCAGCAAATAGGATGCTCAACAAGCATAAAAAGGAAGTGAATATGTAACGTTAGTGGACACCGGCAAATGTCAAGGTGTAGAGCCATGTCCTGATACGGTAACATCACATGTGCATGAGGCTCTAGAAAAACTTGCCACGAAACTTTCAAAACCATTGAATGATCACCACTTATCTTATTGTGAACAGAATAAAAGAAACAAGCAAAATTCACGTCTCATACGGAGCAAAGAGCTACACTAATGTGTGAAACCTAACAATACACCAACTACTACTTATTACGACATTGGCCTTTTCATGACTTGTACATGTTAGACCCCAAGAGTGGAGGAATAAAATTTTGACCTCCTCCGGAGAATGTTAGGCATGTGTTGCACGCTTTCTAGGAGGTCGAAGCCAAAGGAGGGAAGTCCTAAAAGAGGCACCTAGCTTGTTCCGTGATTGCTTGATCAACCAAGAATGCAAATTAGGCTGGTTTTCCGTAGGTGGCTCCTGAAAGGAGCTCAATGGTGTTCATTGAGACGCTAGTGGGTTTTGGCACAGGTAAAAAAGGGCTCAAGTTGCTTCATAATTGAGTTATTTTCACATAGCTTTTGGTTATTTAGTAGGAGAAAAATTACAGCTTGTTAGATGGCTAAGTTCAAAGCGTCGACTCTTAGGAGAGAGTGCATTAATGATAGTCTTTACAGGTGTCTTCTCCTATAGAGTTTGAAGATACTTCTAATTTCTTTATTCTTTTATGCTGGAGAAATGTGTTGTAAATTTGTAATTGAAGGATGATATTATTTTCTCCTTAATCTCTTGTATGCATTAGCCCTTTTTCTCTAATGACAATACTGCTGGTGTCATTATGTTTACCGACCATGTAAAACATAACATAGAAAAAAGTTAAATTTACAAAGGGGAAGAACGTTGGAAACACAAGCATCGTCCTTGTGTTCAGTTCACACACATGATACGTGTAAGGCATCATAAAAAAATTATCAACCAATGGACCCATAAAGTGACTGCAGGCTTCAGAGATTATTATTATTATTATTTTTTAATCTCTGAAGCCTCAATACATTTATGGGGCCATTACTTGATATACATTGTTCTTAGAGCCTTACACGTATCATGTGTGTGAACAGAACAGACTTTAGGCTTTAGAGATAAAAGTAAAAGTGACTGTACCAGCCAGAACTTAAAATCTGTCGTATAAAACTTACCACAGATGTCATACTATAGCCATAAGCATCAACTCTTTTATTTGTCAACCAGTAGTCCATAAAAGGCCCTAGTACCAGCAGTGATGCAGCTTGTGCAGGAGCAGTATGCCCCAATAAGTTGAAAGAACCAAGAGAATACTTGCGTTGAAGAAAATGAACATACTGCAGAAACATAAAGATCAAAGAAAAAAATACATAACGTCAGCATAACGTCAGCAGGAATAGTTACATGTATGAAATAAAGGGAACACAAACCAGTCCAACAACGAAACTTCTCTTGATTACTCTGAAATTTGGCTGTCTAAATATGAGGTGAAAATTGGAAATACTCTTGATTGATTGAAAGTGAAAATTACTGAGAGAAAAGGTAGGCTCTCTAATTTTCTCTTATTACTTGAATGAAAAATTACAGCTATATATATAGGGGAATGGTTGCAGTCTGCAACCGTGTGAACAGAATAAAAATCAAACAGAATAAGGGAAACAATCTAGCCTAAATAAGGAAAGAGAATAAACGGAAATTAGGTAACTCAATACAAAATATTCAGCTATCCTAATATAGAATAATGCAGCCCTAGAAATCCGAACTAACTAAAGCAAGATTTCAACACTGCCCCTCAAGCTGGGTTGTAGATATCATCCTTACACAGCTTGCGATTCAGTTCTTCAAAGTTAGTTCGTGGAAGAGTTTTAGTGAGTATGTCAGCTGTTTGGAACCTGGTAGGAGTGTAGACTAGTTGTATAATTGCTTTCTTAATCTTCTCTGAGATGAAATGCCTGTCAATCTCTATGTGCTTTGTCCTGTCATGTCATGATGCACGGGATTCTTTGCAATGCTTATGGCTGCTTGGTTGTCACAGAACATCTTGATGGACTTCTCACTTGGTACTCCTAGCTCACCAAGTAGTCTTTGTATACACATTCCTTCACAAATACCTAGAGCTAGTGCTCTAAATTCAGCTTCTGCACTGCTTCTTGAAACTACAGATTGTTTCTTGCTCCTCCAAGTCACAAGATTTCCCCAAACATAGGAACAATACCCAGATATAGATCGATTGTCTAAGATATCTCCTGCCCAGTCTGCATCTGAGAAGACTTCAATATCTCTACGGTCATTCTTCTTGTATAACAGTCATTTTCCTAGTGTCATCTTAAGATACCTTAAAATCCGGTTCACAGCTGCCATATGTTCTTCTGTTGGGTTGTTCATAAACGGACTTACAACACTAACAGAGAAACCAATATCAGGTCGTGTGTGTGAGAGATAGATTAGTCGCCCTACTAGTCTCTGATATCTCCCCCTGTCTACTGGAGCACTATTTTCTGCAGTCCTTATCTTTTTCGTTGAATCCATTGGAGTGTCTGCAGGCTTACATCCCAACATGCCTGTCTACTTTAGTAAGTCCAGAACATACTTACGTTGAGAGACGAATATTCCTTTCTTGGATCGTGCCACCTCCATGCCTAGGAAATATTTGAGCTCACCGAGCTCTTTGATTTCAAATTCCTTGGCCAAAAGCTTCTTCAATCTCAATAATTCTCCTTCATAATCAACTGTTAGAATAATATCATCAACGTACACAATCAGTACTGCTATTTTCTTCTCTGGAGAGAACTTCACAAACAATGTATGATATGCCTGACATTGGGTGTACCCATGCCTCACTATTGACTTTGCAAACCTGTCAAACCATGCACGATGAGATATCCGTACAGAGATTTTTTAAGCTTGCACACTTGTTGCTGTTGAGGGAATTTTCCAGTCCCGGTGGTATTTTCATATACACTTCTTCTTCTAGATCACCATTTAAGAATGAATTTTTTACATCCAGTTGGTGTAACGGCCAATTTCGGTTTGCTGCAAGGAAAAGAAGAACCCAAATAGTATTGAGTTTGGCAATTGGAGCACATGTTTCCTAGTAGTCTATTCCATAGGACTGAGTAAAGCCCTTAGCAACCAGGCGGGCCTTTAGTCTTTCGATACTACCGTTAGCCTTATATTTGACAGCAAAAATCCACTTACAGCCAACTGGTTTCTTGCCATGAGGGAGATTTGAGATTACCCATGTGCCATTTTTCTCCAAGGCTCTAACTTCTTCACCAATTGCCTTCCTCCATTCTGGATTCTTGAGAGCTTCCTGAATAGAATTAGGTACCTGCACACTATTAAGAGCCGAAACAAATGCCTGATAGGATGGAGATAATTTTCCATAGGAGACAAAGTTGTAGATGGGGTGTTGTGTGCATGTTCTAACACCCTTTCTTAGAGCAATCGGCATATCACAATCATCAGTGGCAATTGCTTCATTCTCAATCTCAAGAGTGGAAGTTTCCTTAGCTGAGTGAATTTGAACAGGTTTTGGACTCAGTACAGGTTCTTGAACATGTGCCAGAGGAGTTGAGTGCTCTATCTCCCTTTCGGGCCTTTTCCTTCTAACATAGACACGAAGCTCTTTACTTGCAGTTTGTGGTGATTTGGAGTGATTGTGGACAGGAGAGGATGGATTAGAAACTGTATTTTGTGGTGAGTTTGCAGGTGGTTGTTGACTCTCGGATTCACTGTCGGGTTGTATATGATCCATAGTCTCTGGAAGAATTTCATTGGATTGTGGTGAATCACTAGAATAGGATGCAGTATTGGCTGGTTCCCTCATGTTCTCCCCTTGAATTTCAGATTTGGGGTAGTAGGGTTGATGTTCAAAAAAGGTCACATCCATTGAGTTGTAAAACATTTGGGTAGTAGGTGAATAACACTTGTACCCCTTTTGGTTTGAGGAGTACCCGAGAAAAATGCACTTGATGGATTTAGGATCTAATTGGCTACGATTGCTGATGGATATGAACAAATGCTAAACACCCGAATACCTTTGGATCTAGGGAAGAAATAATTTTGGTATGTGGGTAGTTTTGGAGAAAGACTCGATAAGGAGTTTGGAATTGGAGAACTTGGGAGGGCATTCTATTGATCAGGTATGCAAATGTAAGGATTGCTTCTCCCCATAAATACTTTAGAACATTAGTGGAGAACATGAGAGATCGAGCTACCTAAAGTAGATGTCTGTTTTTTCTTTCTGCAACCCCGTTTTGTTGGGGAGTATCAATATAGGAGCTTAAGTGGACTATGCCCTGACTCAAGAGGTAATTACCAAGGATAGTTTTGAAGTATTCTTTGGCATTGTCAGCTTTTAAAACTCGAATCTTGGTTTGGAATTGGGTTTGTATCATGGAATTGAAATTTTGAAAAATTTGACCTACTTCAGATTTTTCTTACATGAGAAATATCCAGGTCAATCTAGTGTGATCATCAACAAATGATATGAACCATCGAGTTCCTGTTATGTTTTTTACTCTTGAGGGGCCCCAGGCATCACTATGGATCAAGGCAAATGGTTGAGAGGGCTTATACGAATGACTAGGATAGCTACTACGAGTATGTTTGGCAAGTTGACAAATTTCACAATAAAAAGGCATTGAACTTTTATTGATAAACAACGAAGAAAACAGTTTTTTCAGATACATAAAATTTGGATGACTAAGACGATACAGCCATAGCATAATTTCACTATCTTTATTGACATAAGAATTTAAAACTGACTGACTCTTAAAGGACACACCACTTTCATTTTGAGCTTGTCTACTTAGAGGAGTGTTGTTTTTGAGTAGATAGAGCCTAGAACACATCTCAGCATTGCCAATCTTCCTCCCCGAATCCAATTCCTGAAATTCACATAAGTTTCGAAAGAATTTAGTTACACAATTCATATCACTGGTCAATTTACTAATTGAAAGTAAATTACAGTCCAAACTAGGAACATGGAGGACAGAGTTTAGAATCAAGTCCTTAGTAATTTGGACTGAGCCTGTTCCCTCAACTTTGGATGAGGAACCATCAACAATTCGGATGGTAAGGTTCTCACTGGATGGCCTGTATTGGTGAAATATAGTTGCATCTCCCGTCATGTGATCTGACGCTCCAAAGTCAATAATCCATGGTTTCACGTGCCCTTTATTAGCTATAAAGGCCATTGGAAGGTTACCTTTTTGTGCTAACATACTAGTTCCAAGCACCGAAGTACTTGGCTGAGGCTGAATACTCTGGTTGAAAAACTTTTGTAGGACTTCAAGTTGTTCTTTGGTGAAAGGACTTGTCTCACTTGCGGCTGGACTATCTTCTTTGGAGGCAGCAACGTAGGCACGATTTTCTTTGTCATGAGGGCTTCCAATTAGCGGGGTTGCCATGAATTTTCCAGCAATTCTCTCTGAGATGTCCTAGTTTGCGGCAGTGGTCACACCATGGTCTTTCTCTCCTCTGCCGGTTGTCAATATTGTTGTTCGTTGGCGGTCCTGTGCTGCAAGGGCAGATCCTTCAAGTGTTGGGGTAGATTCCTGAGATCCCATCATCACCTTTTTCCTGCTTTCTTCACATCAAACTTCTGAGAGGGCCTCACGAATGCTAGGAAAAGGTTTGGTCCCCATTACTCTTCCTCTGACTTCGTCTAAATTTTTGTTGCGGCCAAGAAGAAACTTGAACGTCCGTTTCTGCTCCACAATTTTCCGGTAGAAGGCTGCATCATCAGGGCACTTCCATGTGTGGACTTCGAATACATCAAGATGTTGCCAATAGCGAGTGAGAGCATTAAAATACTGAGTGACCGTGAGGTCTCAACTTGGCCTTGATTTCAAAGAGTTCTGAAGTATTCTTAGAACTTGAATATGTCTCCCTAATAGCATCCCAGATTTCTTGTGCTATTCCGTACAAGAGAAAATTCTCTCCTATCTCATTGTTCATCGAGTTAACCAACCATGACATTACAATATGGTTCTCGGTTTTCCATTGCCTGTATTTGGGATCATTCTTTTATGGAATGGTGACTTCACCATTGAGATATTCATCTTTGCCTCTCCCACAGATAAACATCATAACCGACTGGGACCATTGGAGATAGTTCTGACCATTGAGTTTGTGGCCAGTGATGAGAAGAGAAGGAGTGTCCGGTCCTCCATGGCTGCTCGAAGCTAGTGCGGCAGTTTTTGGATTGGAGGTTACTTCGGATGTAGAGCTTTGTCTCTCAGTAGCCATGCCGAATTTGGTCATGAAGAAGGGATTAGGGTTTTCAGAGGTAGGCTCTAATACCATGAAAATTACTGAGAGAAAAGGTAGGCTCTCTAATTTTCTCTTATTACTTCAATGAAAAATTACAGCTATATACATAGGGGAATGGTTGCAGTCTGCAACCGTGTGAACAGAATAAGGGAAACAATCTAACCTAAATAAGGAAAGAGAATAAACGGAAATCAGGTAACTTAATACAAAATATTCAGCTATCCTAATATAGAATAATGCAGCCCTGGAAATCCGAACTAAGGCAAGATTTCAACAGAAAGAATATATACTTAATTTTAGACCGAGTTAATAGTAATAAAATTCTTACTTTGCGAAACAATTTGAAGTATGCATCTACAAAAATGAAATCTAAGATAAGTGAACAGAAACACAAGTTAAGCTGAAACCAGGCTTTTTCGAACAGAATAGCTTTATGACCCAACACATTCCAAAGTGGTAAAATCTATATGTAACATCTCATAAGTAAAGTGGGGGGCACTTACATACTGCTGGAGAGCAGTGCTCCAAACTGCCACTAAAGCAGCAATAAAACCTTTTGCATTGACGCTCACATCAGTAACAGTACAAACACCAACACCAATGAGAACCAACAGTATGCTAAGCTTTGTGTCCCTTGAGTATCGCACATGGTCCAAGACAACTTCAAGAAAACAAGATACTGGGATCATACTCAGCTTTGCGATCTGAAATAAGAGTTCAAGTAAGAAAAGTAGTATAGAACTTATGAAACTCGGGGGAAAAAAAACAAGGAAATCCAGCTCAGAGCTATGCAAGTACCCACCTGATAGAATCCCACAGAGTTCCACATCAGACTCACATTCATTCCAACAATAGAGAAATTTGCAAACAAAACAAACTTCAAGAGATCGGACAATGGCAGATGTGAGGGCTGGATGTAGCCCAGCCATCTTAGAACAGATGTCAACAATGTTGTTGTTCCAAAATGCAACCCTGTTAACGTCGTAGCTGCATTGTATTGCACACAAAGTCAGGGTTATTTAACAACAGTTGCAACAAAATGGCAACAAAGCAAAATGATATAAGAGTACTCTCTTTCTCAAAACACCCAACAGTTACTCCAGAACTCAATGCATAGCGATTTTTCACTCAGAAAGTAGGGGACACTCTCTCTGTATCTCTGTTTTAATCAAGGAAAAATTTCAATGCTAATCTCCTCTGTATGTGGAACGGAAAAAGTAAATATGCATAAAAGTTTAGTCACAATAAAACTCAAGTCATTGATCTTATTGAAAGAACAATTAAAAATATGGGGACATATAGCATCTCATGTTATTTAATACTCCTTTCACCAACCAAAACCCATTATTTGAATGTCATGCCAAATTAGTCTTCTGTTTAGATGAAAATTCTGTTCTCCTATCCCCCTCAGTTGCTATATTGTGGAAGTTATTTATTTATAGAGGTAATTATCACCCAAAGCTGCCTCAGAACTAGCCCCTTGTGTCTACTTTCTCTTAAGAAAAAGCTACTTGAGGCGAAAAAGAAAAAGTTACTTTTTTCACGATCTAAACCTGAAGCAAAACAACAAACGACATCATCATAGTTTATGACCAAAAAATTCAATGTTCCATACTCACACCAGTTTAACATGATTTTAGAAATTGTAAACCTCAAGAAATTATTTGCTCACCAAACTGATCGAATTTTTCCCTTTTTTTAATAATAAAGAAAGATCCAACATTAAGCATATAATTGATAAGCATATATTTGTTAAATATGAGATGCAATCAAATAAGTCAAAAGGACTATACCAAAGCTGAAACCATATGTGGCCATAAGAGCTTTATTAACCAGGATTATTCCAACAGATGTCACCACATTGAACATCCATGATGCTGCATCAATGGCCGCCTTCTTCTCAGCTTTGCCTGTTGAAGACATTTTTATCCTTGGCTTCCAATGTATCACCAGATCCTTTACTGCTCAGTCTTCATAAAAAACAAATATTACGCTTGAATAACAGAACTGATACTTTTTACCTGCATCAGAAAGTAAATATTCCATCACGGAGAATACAAAGGGAATCGATTTTATATTCTTGTTTGCAAAGGGAACCAACAAAAACTGCTATAGTTTAGGCACATGAAGAAAGCTGTACTAGACACAGATTTGTGACTTATAATTCACCAAAAATTTCAAAGCATACGGAAATTATGACAAGTCCAAAGAGACAATTCAGAAGTGCAAGCAGACAAACTTACAAGTACCATCTAAAAAATTTTGGCAGCCAATGCTAACTAACTCCTGAACAACGGTTGCACTAGCATTCAACTTCAATATTTATTGCAATACATACATACATATATATATATTTACATATATGTATATATAGACACACACACACATGAAGCTAATTTGGATTAGAAAAATACTTCTGCACATTAATCAAAGACTTTTATAAGTTTAGAATAACTAATTACAATTAATACACCAATAACAATCTAACAACCACTCTGTTTATTAACACCAACGACTAACTCATAAAGATTAAGAAATACATATATATACACATGTATGTATGTATATATGTATGTATAAGACGTACATAAACAACAGCGGAGCCACACTTTACCCCACTCTAATTTTAGAAATTTGATTTTTCTTCCTCTTAATAATTACAATATATATATAACCTATTCATTAAAAAAATTTCTCCGCTTTAGTGAGATATATATACACACTTTGTTTTTATGGCTATGCAATGCGGATCAGGAGACCAAACGCTGAAAAAATCGCAAGTATACCAACAACTATCGAGTTTACTGACACTATAATTACTGTGATTTCACTTAATCGAACAGTCTATGCACAATTTGAAAATTCTGAATCACAATTATTAACAAGAATATACAAACACACACTTAAACAGATTCATTCCGTATTCTGATTCTTCACCAATCAAGTTAGTATTGCATTTCCACAAATTCCATAAAAAAAACATAAACAAACGATGAATCCAAACCGAATTACACTGTTCCAAAACAGATCCATCAAATCTAGAGCAATACTCGATAAAGTTGAATCGAATCACAGCATAACAGATCATTCCTAATCCAAATTCAATCGCAGATCCGTTTCTTCGGCACGAAACATCGATCGATTCGAAATTTCGTGAACTTCAGTTTTCGTTTTCATATTTTCTTTCCTTCGTCACCCGAAATCAATTTTCCCGGGGAAAAAAAAGGTTTTCCAGGAAAATAAGTAGGAAAAAAAAGTCAAAACAGAAAGAGAGATTAAATGGAGAAGGCACAAACCTTGGAAACGAGGAAGAGGAACAGGAAAAGGAAGAGGAAAAGGAAGAAGAAGAGGAAGAGGAAGAGGAAGATGAAGCTGATGCAGAAAATTCAATGGCGGTTGTGGGATTAAAATGCCGCGTCCGA